AATAAAAATTAAATGAAATTATTTTGGTCACATGTGACTTAGATCAACTTGTGGATGTAGGTTATTTAAAGTTGGTGTGATGCTTAATTTTCACCTACTGATCATAAAGGCAATTATTATTGGAGTTGAAGAGCCTTTCACTGATTCTGCCATTGTTTGTTTTCATAATTGTTTTTGATGTCTTTGTTTTTGTGTGCTTATTGGCCCTATTCATTTCCGTCCCATAGCAAAGTGATTGTCTTGTTTTCATATGTTAAATTCTCTATCCATCTACTCTATTTTTTGGGCCAAAATCCAACTTTATTGTGGAAGGAATGCATCCTGCTGTTTTTACTTGGTAAATATGTGGTTTGGAGAAATCTGCATGTTTGTTCTGATCTTGATATTCTTTCCTATCTTTTGTGATTTAATGTATCAATGCTTTAGATGTGTAGTAAATTTCATGTATCACTGCTTGCAATTGGTCCCACGCGAATGTGATTCCTTGACTAGATTTCCTAGGTTTACAATGCTGCATTCACTAAAATGATGGTTTGTCTGTTCCTGAACTCCTCCTTTCTTGTGAGGAAAGAAGAGGAAATGGTTAGTTATTTGTTTTATTATGTACCTGATATATGAACTGGTTTGGAAGTTGTGACAGTGATGAATGTTTAACATCGAATGGTTGTTTTGTTACATCTGCTGAAATCAATCAGGTCTGACCAATACGGTTCTCCAAATGTGGAAAACCTGAATTTTGAACTTATCCAAATAAGATATGTTCTACATTGACAGTACAATATCCTTCTGTATCTGCTATTGCTTTATGTTGACTTATTACTTTATGCATATGATGTTCTATCTTATCTTGAAATGACTAGGGAAAAATAAATAATTTATTTCAAAAAAATGGTTGTTCTGTTACCAGAGATATGGGATGCACTTCAAGCTGCAGCTGAAGCAGATTTAACCCTTGCACAAGCAATTGTTGATAGTGCTGGGGTGATTGTTCAGAGTGATGACTTGACAATCTGCTATGATGAAAGAGGTACCCAACACTCATTTTATATGTGAAAATCATTTTATCCAGAACCTTTGTTTCTCATGGAATGGCTTTTGCAGGTGCTAAGTATGAACTACCCAAGTATGTATTGAGCGAACCGACCAATTTGATTCGAGAAAACTGACAAAGGAAGATAATGATGCCCCAGTTAGACTGTAAATCATGTAAATTGATCTTATGGTCCTTATATTTCATGTTTAAGTTTTTCATCATCCACATTCTTGTACAACTTAAACAATTAAACCTCATAGAAGTTATTATTAGCAAAAGAATCTTAATTCTTTGAATATCAGGCTGTGTGTGTTCTTGCCATGAATGTCGAAGAAGGGAATTGAAAATTAAATGCATTTGGTTTGGGTCATTTATTGTTTTGTATGAGTTATGTCAATGCCATTCCTTTTTTTTTTTTTTTTTTGGGTAAAATAACTCGATATGTTGACGATAATGCAGGTATGTTATCTTCCAGCAGCTGGTTGCCTGGGTTATTTTCCATCAACAGTCCATCGTCCTTTGAACAGCCCTAATCTTGAGTGTTTATTTATTTATTTATTTATTTTTACAATCTTTTAAGAAATTGTTCCTACTTTACTATTTCCCATTTTAATTACACCTTTACTAGATGTAATAGTTATTACATTCCTTTTCTATTTGTTCAAGTTCTTAATCATTCCCATTCCATCAATGCAATTAAGGTACAAGTCTAAATCTGCCTTCTTAGTGTCAGAGGAGGAAAATGAATATTCAATACAAATTCTGTGCATTTTATGTGTTTTTTTCCCATGCTTTATTTGAGTTATGTCATGTGAATGCTATTCTGACGGGATAAGGGAAACGGGATAGAATGTCTGTTTCTGAACTAGAAGCATATTCGTGCTGTCGTTGCCTGAAGAAGCTTCATTTATGTTCTCTGGACACGGATGTTTTTCCTGGCTAAGGCTCCTGTATATTGGGCCCATTTGGATCTGTTTGAGGGCCCATAGTCATCTCAAACTTTGTGAATCCCGCTTGCTTGAACTCCTCTGCATTAGCAACAAAAAGAAAAATATATAACATATATATATACCAAAAAAAAAAAACAAAAAGAAAAAAAAGTAAGAGTATAATCAAGGGGAGGCAATTACATTTTATTTACAAATATCTAGTTTAACTTCTTGCTTTTTAGAATTAAGAGATCTTTGTTTCATATTGTGTAATTTTAAAGTACAGTGAGTTAAAAAAAAATATTACATCTTATTATGTAATCTCAAATTAAAGGAAAAAAAAAAGGGCATTCTTGCTTTTAGCTTTTTTTTTTTTAGCAAAGGTAATGATTATGAAGTTAGTTTTAATTAGTTGTTAGCAACTGAGGAATCAATGCTCAGACCAAGTAAACGTTTCACTCCTCAAATGAGGCGCACGGCCAACAGGCCGCTTTGGTGGAGTTCTTGCTTTTAGCTTCTTGGATGGGAATCAAATAAGCATTTCTCATGGCTAAATGATTTAATTTCTTATATTATAATGCAAACTCGTCTTATTGTCATCCATCACTAATAGCATCCTATGTGATACTAAAGGAGAGCTACAGACGCCGCAAAGCAGGTGTTAGCACGTGATGGGCTTGATAATGACCATATTAACAAATGCAAAACATCATGTTCATCAAGATTAGAGATTGATGAATTGCCCCAAAAGAAAAGAGTGAAAAAAAAAAATGGGGCAAAAGCTAAAAATATTTAGTGGTTTGGTACACATAACCAAAGTAATGTCTCTTGGGAACTAGACATGAAAGAAGCTTTTCCAATGAATTAAAATGATGTCCTCCACCCATCTTATGCAAAAGTTCAATTATATATAAATTGTTAGCAGCTACAAATTGGATTATATATATATCATTAGTGGAAAAGGGGCAGTCAAAGATTTAGGCACTATTCACTATTATTAATCCCTTTTTTGCTTAAATATGCATGGTCTATATTGAACAATAATAAGTGAGCATTGCAAGGTCCTATGGCCACTTTGTTATAGGGTACATATATAGGTTTGATTTCAAGGGAGAGTGCCCTAAGAATTTGCATTGGGGGTAGTTTACAACATAAAGACCTAACTCCACTTTCCCTCGCTTTGATCTTGAATTTTTCTCTCATGCACCTACTGTCCTATGTACTTGTTCTATTTCTGGCTTAACGGGCAGCTGTTAGTTTAGGTAGTTTTGATTTTTGAACCAATTGATGAGGTGAACCTTCAAGATTTCAACTTTCAACCAACCATTTTCCTTATAGCTGTATTTTGACTGCTTCTGGAATTGTTGCAATAAATTAAAGAAGACTACCATGCATTGAAAGAAGCTATAAATTCCATATGGATTTTTCTATCACGCTTAAAACACGTTAAATATATATTTATTATATTTTTTTTATGATTAATATACATAAAAAAATATAAATATTGATTTTAACTTAATCAATTAGTTAATTAAAATTATATTGCATGATAAGGATATTAAAATAATAGTCAATTTTTATATTTTTATGTAAATTAATTATAAAATAATGTATTATTAACTTTTAATTATATTTTTAAAATACAAATTAAACAAGCTCATTTCAATTTTATTCTCGAATAGTTCAGTTGTTGATTAAACTCTTAATCTTGATATTGAGACAAATTATTATTTTTAAAGTTCCTTGAATACTAATTCAATAAAAATAAGTAAAATTACTTATGGTTTATATTGAAGCCGAATAAAAGGCAAACATATTATGATATGAAATTGATTTTGTGAAAGTGATGGATTTGGCATCCTAGGGTTAGCAATTTATTTCATGAACCGGACAACATTTATTTCCTTCCATTCCCCAAATTATATATCTTTTCTTTCGAGTCTGGACCAACCTCTGTACTACCTTCTTTTTCTATTTTTAAGTAAAGGCAAAAACACATATAATAGCTTGCTCTTGAGTCCTTCAATTTTTCTTTTCTTTTCTTTTTTCTATTGGTTTCTTGTGGAAACCTTTACAAAAAGTTTGCAAAATCTAGTAGCTTGTCATCATAAAACCATATATTAGGACCATCATCCACCACCTTTCACCTTACTCCCCACACCCATATATATATATATATATATATATTGGACTAAATCATCTCATGCGGAGCCAGTGAGCTACCCACCATATATATAAAATTCCACTTTTTGGGTTATGGTTGAGAGACCGAATAGAAATTAATTCCAACTTTGTTATTCCTTTCCCGTTCCTTCCAAAAAAAAAAAAAAAGTGATCATCATGAGGACTTTCAAAGGAAGAAAAACAAAAAGAATCAACTTTGTTTTTTAAGGTTTTCTTAGGTTAGATAAAACAATATATAAGGCCTAAAAAAAAAAAAAAACTAAGTAGCATGTTTAACGAATCTCATTAGCACATGTATTATCATGTTAGGACAATAACCCAATACCCTATATTAGGACAATAACCCAATACCCTATATTGGGCCAATAAGGTCTAATATGGCCTAATTTTTAGGATTTAATTAAAATCCAATTCACAAAAATGTAATACTACTTGAACTAACAAAATTCAATCATGTGAATTACACCCTAAAGCTCTTTGACTATAAATACCTCTCAACTACTTCTTTACGAAGGTAATTGTTATTCTTTTTATCCATTTGATATATGCTCAAGAGCTACTCACTCTAAATTTTCTGTTATCAAAATACTATTGATTTAAGTATCAAAATGTTTATCTCAAGATTTCATCTCAAACCTATCTTGCAAGACAAATGGATAGAGTCAATAGAATTGGCTTGCGTTTGTGTAGCAACAGACCCTCCCTAAGTAAAAGTTCCTGACCAATATATGTCGTCTAACTTCTCGAATTTCTGTATATCTTATATCATTGTGTCAAGACGTTTATTTACATGCTCAAACTATATTCAAGTGATTTGTGGAAGTCTTTTGTGAGGCTAAACAACATCAATGTGCTGGAAATTTTGATATTTTTAGGAATTTAATTATGACATTTGGGAGAGGTAAATTAAAATAAGAAAATGATCATCAATCGAACAAAGCATGACAACTCAACCCGTTTCCTAACACATGATGCTCTTCCTAAGATGCAAAATGTTGTTTGTGGTCCAATGTTGACTCAGATTGTTTCCAAGAAGAACTCAAGAAGGACCACATGAATTTACTCCACTAAGATCTCTCAGCTGCCTAAATCATTTATAACATCACACATACGCATGAGAAATTGCTTATTTGGAAGTACGCACGAGTATCAGCCGATTTTTTTTTTTTTATACGTGCTAATTTAATCACATTCATATTATTAAAAAAAAAGAAGAAGAAAACATTAGACAGGGTTTAATAAGATACCATTATCAATCTTGTAAACACATTTTATGGGACCAACGAGGGATTGGATCAAGTGGTAAGTGGTTTGTTCCAGCTTAAGCAAGGTCTCGAGTTCGAGACCTTGTGAACGCAGCAGCCCTCGCTAGGAGACTCACCCACCATTTTTAGGTATGCGACACAAGTCGGGTCCGGATTAGTCGGGACGAAGGCCCGGATACCAGACAGGAAACCCAAAAAAAAAAACACATTTTATGGGAGAAGGTTGAAATAGAAAGTTATATTTTTTTCATAAGCCTGCGTAATAAGTAAAGAAATGAATCAATATTTTGGATAAAATATAGCATTTCAATATGCACTAAATTATAAAATATCAATTATTTTTTTTTGAACTGATTTTATTAGGGGCTGAGTTCGAACCCAGTCCTGGGGGAGAGGGGAATGCACCATGGGTGGTTATTGTCACTTGACCCGAAGGGTTCGGTGCTATAAAATATCAATTATTGAATTAAGGAAAATTTTTTATTTAATAATTAATATTTTATAATTTAATATAATTTAAATTACAAAATATTATTTTTTTTAATAAAAAAAAAAAGCTAACAATTTAAAATCCTCGTTGGAGAAAGAGATAAAAAGAAAAAATGGGGTCCGAATCCAGTCACAAGGGGAAAAAGGGCCTTTATTGCTAATAATTTAGTCAGATACTCTTTTCCTCGCGGTACTGTTATTTTTTTTTTTGGTTAAAATCCATTTTTGGTCCCTCAACTATTGTACGGACCCCTGATTTGGTCCCTGAACTCAAAAAATCCTTGATTTGGTCCCTACTGTTTACTATTTTTACCCTGATTTGGTCCTTCCGTTAAAAATTCAATGATGTGTCCAGTTAACTAACGGAAAATGATGACATGTCAAAATATTATTACAGATCAATACCATGTCATTAAAACACGTCAGATTTTAGCCAACAAAAAACAATGTAGGGCCCACCTCCTGCAAAATTCACTATCTTCTCTCCTTCTTCCCATTCACACCCTGGGTTCTTTGAACCCCAGGCACTGGGTTCCCTTGAACCCGTGCCTGGGTTCCTTCAAGAACCCGTGCCTGGGTTCCTTCAAGAACCCAGCTACTGGGTTCGTCAAGGAACCCAGGTGCGGGTTCGAGGGACCCAGGCGCGGGTTCGAGGGAACCCAGCGCCTGGGGTTCGAACAACAATTCATCATCATAATCAAACAACACCCACAAAAACTTCATCAATCAATTCATCATCATCATCAAACAACACCCACAAAAATAAAGAAATTATTTATTTATTTTTTTGTTGAAGAAACCAGAGCCTACTAGGTTCTTCAAACCCAGGCTTGGATTTGAACCCAGGCGCGGGTTCGAAGAACCCAAGCCTACTGGATTCTTCAAACCCACGCTTGGGTTCGAAG